TTTTCCGGGTACCCGATGTTAATAAAAAACGGGTACCCGGTTCTAAAAATACCCGCAAATGCACACCCCTAGAATATACCATAAAATTGAAGGGGGTGTTTGGAAAATATCACTCGAAATCCATTATGGTAACATCTTTTGACTCTCTGAATAAAAAGGTATTTATGAATGGGTATAAATATGTGCGTGGCTGGTCTTAAACGTTAGTTTAAATTAAACGTTAGTTTAAACCAACTTATCTCAAAATATAGAGGGCCTGACGTTTCGATCCTAATAGAATCTTTCTCAAAGGCAAAATGACAAGTGGACAGGACAAACAAGCCAACGAGGAATCAACCAAGCATGGATGAATACAAGAGGACCAACTAAAAACGTTAGTTTAACGCGACTAATGCCCAAGCCGCAGGTCCATTCTATGGCGCCAGTCTTAAATGCACCTTTAAGACCGGCCAAGCACGTATTTATTCCGTTATCATCCCCAATTGAGTATTTGTTTCTTGTACAACTGGCTGTGTGGTTGGTTGATTGACAGAGGGTGATATTCTTGGGACTATGGCAGAGGCTGTGGAGAACTCCGCAGTCGTCTTGGTGAGCCTGTCGCAGAAGTATAAAGACAGTCACAACACACGAACAGGTAAAAGGCCAAGAAATTGAGAATAGAAAGATTGTTTGACTTGATCCCAAAGTTATTGTACTTCTCCATAGGTCTCTCAAACCTCCTAAGTTCCACTGCCTCGCATTTATGCTGAGTTTATATTTCCTAGATTCATTGCAGCTGTGATTGATCAGACCTGTTGCCTGTTTATAGTCTCGCTGCTGATAAGTTTTGCGAGATCGCCCCTCCCCCCACATCTAGTAAAGGTTTGGTCTATTGGTAACTTACGTCAGTTTGTTAAAGACTGATATTCTTATAAAGAAAAAAATCATAACTGGTCTACCACTTACATAAACTCTGCAGTGCCCTAAGCAATGGATGTTTTAACATTTCCGCATGGAATGTGACGAAGACTCATTCATGTTCTGTTGTTTTGCATGACAGAGGCCACATATGCCTACAAACAGAACATTCCAATCATTCCCCTATTGGTTGAGGAAGACTACAATGCAGATGGATGGCTGGGGGCGCTGGTGGGAACCCTCTTGTACTTTAAGTTTTTCGAGGACGGCCAAGTGGAGCAGAATCTGCCCCACCTGGTACAGGAGATTGGCTCTCGTGGGAAAGCCGGGCAAGGTGAGACAGGTGACACTCTGTGCTGTCTAGTTTTCAGTCAAGCAGCCCCCTGGCCAATTTCAGTGAGTTTGTCAAAATCTGAGTATGAGTTTGAGTACTCCACATTATGTGGTAGTGGCGAGTTAGACAATGAGTGTGAGTCACAGAAAGCAAAGGAATGGTCTGAAATTGGATATCAGCCATTACCTTTTCACATCCCTCCGAACATGCCGGGAAGATGTGGAGGAGTTTTCAGTTTTCAGCCACAGAATGTGCCATTTTTTCTTGTACAATTGAGGATGTAGGAGGGTTTGAAAAGGTTTTAACTATTCATCCAAAATGCCAAGGTTGTAAAAGATGAAATTACAGGAGACATGAACTAGCATTTGCTAATCAACACTTGTTTGAAAGGAAATACATTTTCTGTTACAGTCAAGTGGTCATTTAGGTTTTGTTGTTCATTTATAATTATGCAGTGTACCAATTTTTTTTTCAATTCAGGAGATGCAGTTGTCATGAGAACAAACATTCAACCTGTCAAGGCTCCCGTGACACAGAACAAGCCTCCAACCGCTCCGGCTGCCTCTGTCTCGACAGCATCAGCAACAGCCGCACCACCGCTTCCCAAAGCGGGCCCAGTGGCCGTGACATCCTGGGACAGCGGCCAGGTGCAGGCTTGGCTGAGGGAGAACCAGCTGGCCGGGGAGGGAGGTGTGGGGGACAAGCTGGCCGGCTTTGATGGCCAGCTGCTGGCCCAGATGCACAGGCAATGCCAGCAGGCGCCTGAATTCTTCCACAACGCTCTGCGGCACGACCTGGGCCTGGACTACCGCACTCTCCTCAGGCTGACCTGTGCCTTGGAGAAACTGATGACTTGAGTGGGTGGTAACGACAGTCTCTTGCCCTCAAATTAACTGACCCTGAAAATGAGAGAAAAGGATTCACATCTGCAATAGACCCTATTCACGTGGAGGCCATTATTGATCTTATCCCCCAAATCTGTTGTATATATTGCAAACTGTCGATCAGGATGTCACCAGACTGTTTTATACTTCCTTGCGTTCCAAGCCTCCCTTTCAATAGTTTTTGGAATCTGGCATGGTACAATTCTATGTGTTCAATCAATTTCAATTTGAAATTATTCATTGGAGTGGACTTGTGGACATTTGTCATGAAATTTCATGTTATTGCTTCATTTGTACTCTCAACATTCAAAAATGAAGAGTTAACCTCGCTTTCAAATTCAATATGGCCTGTGAATAAAGTCTGTATATCTTTGACAGTTCCAAGATTAGGGGAAACTGTATATGCCTGTATTTTTTACTTACAGAAAAATAATGTGTGCAATATTGAGTGGAAAGTGATACCATAAAGGTTGAGTGGTTGTTGCCCTTGGTTGATGTAAATCACATCACATTTTTAGGAGCCTCTGGTTTTAGGAGCCCCATTCTGCAATATATCTAGGTTTGCTTGGGTCCGTAACCCCCCTGGTAAGTTTTGTGTCTACAAGAACTTCCATACCAAAAATAAGACTATGAAGTAGACATTTTTGACTACAAATTAGTAAAAGTATCATGGTTTGTTTGCATTTTAGAGTGAAGTGTGAGCTAGCCTTTTAGTCTTATGACTATCCAAGCATTCTATTGGTCCTTTACCAATTCAAAGCAACATGTGACAAGTATTTTGTAATTTTGGTTCAGAGTTTGACCTGCCTTCCGTGCACTTAAATGTGGCATTCTATTTTAAGATCAAGTATATTTGTACGAACATACGGTCTAACATTTCAAGAAATATGTTTAGTTTTCTCAGCTTAGGTTTTTATAAATGTATATACCAAAATCAGGGGCTCTAAATTTTATATTTATGAATAAAAGATGTCTTTGGATCAGTAAACAATATTGTAAATGCCCCATTTCTACTTCAAACTGTACAGATGACCAATCATTTTTAAGAATTTGCTATTGAAGAAGGCTGACAGTCAACAAGTTCAAAGACCAAAATATTAACAGATTGTCCCTAATAACAATGAAGAGGATACTTAAAGTAAATATACACTACAGATAACTTTACCTGCTTAAATTCCCATCATCTGATTGGTGGATCATTGATCACGTCATTGAATATTTCATTCTATTCAATGGGACCCGGTGAATAGATCTTCATTCACTTGGCTAGTTCTGCCCTCATTTCATATACATGTATTTCAGTATTTCCCAGTAAAAAAAAAGGAAAATCAGTTTGTACGATACAGTTGGTGGCACTCCTGACACAAATCTGTCTTGTAAAATGATGGCTGTTAGTACGAGAGTGGTACCAGCTGTAGCCACAGAATGTCCAGCCTGCTGCACCGGTTTTTAAAGTTGAGAAAGTGTTGTGAAAAAAATTCAAAATTGAAATGATCATCACAAAAATCGTTAGGAGTGGTGACTAGTTTTCACAGATTGAATGTTCCTTGGTAAGAGTTTCATGAAGTGATGGATGGAATGGTCATTCATGCTGTCACTGTGCTTTCAGTGCATGCAGTACAACTTTAATGTTTAACAATACCGTTTGGCAGAATGAATAATTTCTTATTTGATCATTGACCTACCAGTTGGCTGAAGATTTATTCAGTTGTGTAACATAGTTCTTTCTCTCTCACATGCATAAAAATTGATATTGAGTTGTTTCATCTGTCAGCAGACCGAACAGTGTGCATTGATGGTGTGGAAAGTTCTACCAAGCAATGAATATCAAACCTACTTTTTTACAGAATGAATATTTCACTCGTTTATAATCGATGAGCCACCATCCACATGATAACAATTATTTATGCCAGGGTTGTATGATGAGAAGTATTACACTTGCATGTATGTATTTTTGAAGAGATGTGCCTGGTTGATGTACCAGAAAGCATGAAGCATGGAGTTACATTTGATATTCCAAACTATGCACTGTCCAAGAAGATGTAAGACAATTTTATCAGTTTGTGGTCATGGCAGATGTTAACACAAAAACAGAGTTATTTCCAAGGATGGATTTGTGCCAGGGAGATGTTAATTATTTTTAGATTTTTGCCCTGCCAGACATGTATTATAACATTATATACCCAGTGTTTGCCCCTGAAGGCTCGTGAATAAACCACAAGCGTGCAAATGTTCATTTCAAACAGATTTGAAATAAAGACACCGAGCATTCTCAGCAGAACTTGATAAAACTGAAATAAGTCCAGTGTCTGTGGACTTAATTGCAGCACCCATGTTGCTGTGATGTTATGAATGTGTGTTTGCTTTCTCCTTGAGCATGAACTTTGCCTTTGACCAAAAATTTCTCGCCACTGGTAATGTAAGTCTTGCAATTACAGATGGACTTGTGTGAAAAACAAGTGGCTTATGTCAGCCTACAGGGGTTCATCAGTTGCCTTTTTAGTCAGGATACCAGACCCGATGATTCTGACTACGTCACGAATCAAGGCAGTCTTTGGGTAGGGAACCAGACTATTGCCTTTTCTGCACAGTATAACAGTGGATAGCACTTAATTGGCAGTTCATTGTCTGCAGTGCCTACTATATGGGTCCAATTTCACGGAGCTTCTTAACAGTCAGCAGAAAACTCTAACTTAAGCAGAAATATTTGCGATTTCACCTTATTTTATTAAGCACTATTTCATACAGTGGTGGTGTTTGTGTGCGTACATTAAAATCTCTGTTGTTACGTCACTAAGTTTAAGCAAATTTTGCCTCCCAACGTTAGCAAGCCTCTGGCTGTGTTTACTGCTTAGGGTCTCCATGAAATAACTGGAGCCTCTGTTAGTGTGAAATTATGTGCTAAGCAGCACCATGATATTGGGCCCAGGGCTGCACATGCATTTGTGCAGGGGTGAGATTTCTCAGCTTTTTAGCTTATCTCAGCTTTTTTTTGGATTTCAGCTTTTTTTCCTCACTGGCTATGTACAAAAGTGTAGGAGATTTTCACAGTTCAGCTTCTTTATGCCTTTTTTTTTTAAGGTGTTTTCAGTTATTTTTTTCATTGGTCAATCTCACCCCTGATTTGTGGGAGTAAACCAGTCACCCCTCGTCTCTAAAAGGACAAATGTATCAAAATACATTCTATACCTCTGCACCTCTTTTGGTCTTGTGCAACTGTTTATGCAGGAAATGGCATGTTTGTGAGTGTACAGCATTTAAATAGTCATCTATATTTTTGAATGTATTTTATTTTTAGGTAAATGATAGTCCTCTTTTATTAGTCATATACTTGAACTCGGGGGGGATTAATTTCTTTTTAAATTACATGTAGTTTTCAGAAATGTGGGCAAGTTATCTTCAATCCAGTCATCCTAAAGCTTTCCGTTTATGCTATCGGTCTGTGGGACTCATCTGCTATGACTTTACAATGTCATGACACACAGCTGCGGTATATGAGCTTTTTGTGTGAACTTGATTATGGAGATCTATACAGCTTTCTTTTCCATTGCAGTGGTGATAATCAGGACTCTTGAAATTATTCTGAACGCTCAGATTCTGTGTATGTCTTTCTCTAAAGTTCAGTTTACCTTTCGAGCAATAAACACAAAGCACAACAAAACCCGATTTGAATTTGTTCAAAGCTTGTTTATTTCGTTAACCGTCTGAAGAAACCAAAAGCATTGTGATGAGGAATGGTCACATTAAAGTCTGCCAATGGGCTCAGAAATAAAACCACTGTAGCAATTCTCCTTCTTTATCAACTTTTGTCCAGAATAATTAGGCATTTCAAATACAATTTACATTAAGAAAAATAAACACTTTCACCCAAAATCAACATGTCATTTACTTTAATTAAATACATGGACGGAGCCAGTCAAAACCTTGTAAATAACATACATTATGGAATAAGTCATATCATATATTTACAAGTTCTTTACAGTCTCAAGTTTTATGAAGTGCTTTGACAATGCATATACATAACTGGTTATGATACATGAAGGGGTGGCACTATCTCTAAACACTTGAATTATTCACTGATATCAAAATGGTACTTTTCTGAAAGCAAATTTTAACTTAAAGGGGGTTTCATCATACTGCAATAAACAT